CCTAGTAGCTGGGACTACAGGCATGTGCCACCATGCCCAGCTAATTTTTTTCTATATATTTTTAGTTGACCAAATAATTTCTTTCTATTTTTAGTAGAGACAGGGTCTCACTCTTGCTCAGGCTGGTTTTGAACTCCTCACCTTGAGCAATCTGCCCGCCTCGGCCTTCCAGAGTGCTAGGATTACAGGCATGAGCCACCGCGCCCGGCCTGCCATAAAATCTTTACCTATCAAGCATCAACAGAGAAGCGGTAGGGATGTGATAGGACACAAGGCTGGCCTTGGCTCCCCTCTTCTCCCTTAGGCACATCCAGACAGAAAAACAGAGGTAGCCGGGGATGGTCAGCTATCTTAACAAGCACCTTTTACAAAAACAAAACACAAACAAAATGTCTTATTCTTCCAGGCCAAAACAGCTTCTTCTTCATTATTAAAAAGACACAAAAATCTGTGTCCGACCTCACTCTTCCCTCCATTCCTGGAGACCAGCAATGAGAACACCTGCTTCAACGTCACTAGGGTGTGGAGGACGTTAACGAGCTTTGTTATCACAAGCTCTGTTCCCAGAAGGGACATTTGACAAATATAATTCATTATTTCTATTTATGATCCTTTCATCTTAGTGCTCACCAGTTCAATTTTGAACCCTCAGCATTTTCCCATTTGAGCAGCCTATACATAGCAGAGATTGTAAATTCCATAATAAGGAGGTTTTCTCGGGCTCAGACCCAGGCAGATATGTTCCAACTCTCTTGAGAGTCTGGAAGACACCTTTAGACATTTTAAAGATGAGTAGGGTAGGATTCTAACTCCTTGCATCATTGTTTGTCAAAAACTCAGGAGATATGAACCAGTCATTTCCTTAATACCATGTGAACAACAAAAATAAACCGTTTTATAACTACAGGAGAAATTTGCAATGGTAGCAAAATACTTTATGGAGCTTATTCAAAGATAAGATATATGAGAAAGAACAACATTTTTATGGCCTTTTATTTCCTTTTAAAGGGCCCGTGCAATAAAATAGCTAGAACTAGAATTATTTTACTGCTCTAGCAGGCTTCCTCACAGATGTCTAAAAGGCAACCTTAGAAGGATGAGGCAAAAAAAAAAAAAAAAAAAAATCAAGATTACCTCATGAGATGGAAAAAAAGCTTTTGATACCTTTTAACATCCTTTCATGATTAAAAACCTTTGGCCACTAGGAAGAGAAGGGAAGGAACTTCCTTAATTTCATAAATAATATTTACCAAAAAAACCTATAGCAAATATTTTACTTCATGGTGACAGGACGAAAGCTCCCTTTGAAACCAGGAACAAGACCAGATGCCCATTGTCACCACTTCTATTGAATACAACACTGGAGGTTCCTGTCAGCAGAGTAAGGCAAGAAAAAGACATAAAAGGTACCAGAGTTAGAAAGAAATGGGGAAAACATCAACAGAATATCAAAATCAACAAGAGTTTAATACAATCTCTGGTTTTAACATTAATATACAGAAATAAAGTGATTTCTATATAGCAGCAATAAACAAATATATATAAAATCTCTATGGGAAAAAAATTATAGATGTTCACTGAGAAATCTCAAAGAAGACCTAAAGAAATGGAGAGATATACCATACTATGGATAAAACTAGATATTGTAAAAATGTAAATTCTCTCCAGATGTTCTATAGATTTGATGAAATGCCAATCAAAATCTCAACAGACTTATGTGTGTATAGTATGAGTAATTTTTAAGCTGACTCTAAATTGTGTACCAAAATAGAAAGGAACAAGAACAACAAAGCTACTATTAAAGAAGAAAGTGGGTGGGATTTTCTCTCCAAAAGTTATAAAAATCCTTAAGAAATTATTTTTATTTTTTTTATTTTTTTTTATTTTGGCATATTATGGGGGTACAGATTTTAAGGTTTCAATAAATGCCCATTTCCCCCCCTCCCCCCAAAAGTCTGAGTCTCCATCATGACCATCCCCCAGATGGTGCACATCTCACTCATTATGTATGTATATACCCGCCCCCCTCCCCCCTCCCGCTTAAGAAATTATTATATGGCTGGGTGCACTGGCTCACACCTGTAATCCTAGCACCTTGGGAGGCTGAGGCAGGAAGATGGCTTGAGACTAGGAATTTGAGAACAGCCTGGACAACATAATCAGACTCTACCTCTACAAAAACATGTTTTTAAATTAGCAGGCGTGGTCACACACACCTATAGTTCTAGATACTCAGAAGGCTGAGACCAGGGGACCGCTGGAGCCCTGGAGCTCAAGGGTGCAGTGAGCTATGACTGTACCACTGCAGTCCAGCCTGGGTGACAGAGCAAGACCCTGTCTCTAAAAAAAAAAAAAAAATACTGTCGTAATTAAGAGAGTGTGGTGTGGAAAACTACAAAAAGAGGACAGAGTATAGAAACAGACCCATGGATTCTTAATTTATGACGAAGGTGGTGCTAAAGAACAGTAAAGAAAAGATCTTTTCAATAAATGGTGCTAGAGACCTTGAGTATCTATACTGGGGAAAAAAGTGAAACTGGACCATACCATAAAAGATATACATACTCCAGGTGAGTTACAGACTTGAAGCTTTTAGAAAATAATATAGAATAATATTGGCCAGTCGCGGTTGCTCACGCCTGTAATCCTAGCACTCTGGGAGGCCGAGGTGGGCGGATTGCTCCAGGTCAGGAGTTCGAAACCAGCCTGAGCAAGACCCCGTCTCTACCAAAAATAGAAAGAAATTAATTGACCAACTAAAAATATATATACAAAAAATTAGCTGGGCATGGTGGTGCATGCCTGTAGTGCCAGCTACTTGGGAGGCTGAGGCAGTAGGATTGCTTGAGCCCAGGAGATTGAGGTTGCTGTGAGCTAGGCTGACGCCACGGCACTCACTTTAGCCTGGGCAACAAAGTGAGACTCTGTCTCAAAAAAATATATATATAGAATAATATCTTCATAACCTCAGGAAGGCTTCCCCTTCTTCTCTTTCCTAGAGGGCCCATCTGTGACCTAGCAATACCACTACTAAGAGAAACAGATGTTCCCAGAGAGATGTACAGAAATATACAGTGGCATACATTTTCAAGAATATTCATGGCAGTGTGTTTCATAATGGCCCCAAACTCAAAACAATCCGAATCCATTAGTCACGGAACGGATAAATAAATGCTGGTACATGCACACAATAGAGTGTTAAGCAGCAATGAAATTAAACAACCTTAGGCTACATGCACAAAAATGGATGATTCTTACAATAACACCAAGCAAAGAAGGTAAGACACAAAACGATGTACATTGTGATTCTGAAAGTCACCCTGGAAGCATACTCTGGGTTGCTTAGACAATGAACTAGCTTGGACTGGGAGGGGGGCTCCCCCTTCTCCTAGTGAGAGGGGCTGTACCCAAACACAACTTCCTACAGGACCTGTAACTGTCTCTTCCAGGTGTATCACCGCACAGGGCCCAAGTTTTCAGGTGCTGGGCAGCTGGCGTTTCCAGATAACGTCTATAAACAGCTGGCGTTCGAATACAGATTGCCTGCTGTCCAAGCACTTTGCCTATCTCTTCACTGGTAAGCCTTCTCTCACAGCTGCCTGATAAAAAGAGAGCACTGGGGGAGAGGAGCATTCCTTTCATGTTTTCAAGTTTCTTTAATAACACTAGTACTACCCTCTTTCTCCACCAAGTACAAAAGGGAACTAGACTTGAACTATGGCTATCCTTGACAGAAATTACAAGGTAGCAGCACCCTTAATAACTGACAAGCATAAAACATCTCTAAGTGCTTGCAAAAGGGCGCTGAGCAATCTCTGAAGTTTCCAAGACCCTCTCACATGAAAGGGTGACTCAGCAGCATCGGTGAGTGCCTGAAGCCTTGTGAGGCCGCCAAGGAGTCCCAAGTCAGGTATCTAAAGAAGGAACAGGGTTCCATGATTCTCCTGCACCAGGCTGCCAATGGAGCCACAGAGCCAAGCCAGGTGGTGAGTGAGAAAACTTTGCTTCATTCCAACGTCCAAACTTAAGAATGCTCTCACTGCATGAGCCTGTCATGTGGCATCTGCAAACCTTGGTAGTCAACTGAGACTGAAGATCCTACAATAACAAAGTCCTCCGGTTGGGAATGCTACCAACAGATCTAAAATCTCCTGCCTCGTCAGGATGAAAACTGATTAACAAAGGGTCACAGCTCAGTAATTAGTAGTAGTTCCTAAAAATCCTACCTCCCTCCAAGTGTCACGGATCATAGTGAATAATCAGTTGAAGGAAGACCAGGACCAAGTAAACTTAGGACACACCAGCCTCCACCAGTAAACAGCACTGGGGACAGCATGTGTCCAGTTGTACAAAATAAATGCAGAAGTTCCTATTTCCTTGCTTGCTAGCTCCCATGTTTGATATTGTATGAAGACACAGGCCATGTCATAGTTACGCTAGCAAAACGAATCTAAGAACACGGACTTGGGACTACTTTAATTCTGCCTCTGATAGTCTGCTTTCCTACAGAGTATTGCCTGGCCTCGAATTATGTTACATATGTCTTCATCACTGTATTATTCTTTAGGAAAGATATTAACATAAATTTTACTAGCTATGTCAAAGTCCCTGTGTTATGATTATTTCAAAGCTTTACTGTCACTGGTCTGTGCCTAGGAAACAGACCTAGGCTCAGGTATATATTGTATAATCAACATAAGACTATTATCTCACCTTTGGTCAGGTAGCCAGTGACATCACTGTCCTATACCAAGAAGTCTGTCTGTAAATAGATGAACCATGATATAGGCCCCATATTAATCCTATGCATGTTAAAACTGTTAATAGATCTTAGCGGGGAAAAAGAAAACCCAAAATATTAAATTTAAATTATTAAATAAATAGGTTGTAGGACTACCTCATAGTAAAAAAACAAAAGAAAGAACATGAAGGTGTGGAGGTGGCTAGAGATGCCCTAGGTTCTTAGTTTTCCAGGAACCCTGGTTTGGAAGAGAATGTACCTTATCCATATGGAAGATCAAATCCAATTCACACACATTTTCGAAACACTTATCCAGAGTCTCCACAAAAACCTAAGAAACAAGGAGAAATAGATAAGAGAAACAGGAACATATTCACAGTTCATCAGTTCACATTTGAAGGTAAAGGGGCAGTCACGAGTCTATTTACCTTATAACTGCCCCCCACAAAGCCCTACCTTTTATCCCAGCATTACCTAATCACCCCACTCATCCCAACTGAGAGGGGACAATCTAGGACAGGAAAACCTTGTTTTTAGTATAGCAACACAACCAGCAAACACATATGGCTCTTTCCCCCTTTATAAGATGCAAATTTATATAAAACATTAACAAAATACAACTACTTACAATACTATGTCCTTTCCCCAAGTCACAATGTACACAGGTACAAAAAATTTTTCATTATTAGTGTTAACAGTTTTGTCTTGTTAATTTCAGTTAACATTAACTTCAAAACACCTTTCCATGAATCAACTTAATTTACACATTTATAAAAAAGTGTACAAACAATAATAGCACAGCTTAATGAATTTTCAGAATGAACATACCACATAACTACCATCTAGATACCTGTCCTTAACTTTTTCTTTTTAAGAGACAGGGTTCTTGCTATGTTGCCCAGACTGGAAAGCAATGGCACAATTATAGGGAACCGCAGCCTCAAACTCCTGGACTCAAGTGATCCTCCCAGTTCAGCCTCCCCAGTAGCTGGACCTACAGACGTGCGCCACCACATCCAGCTAACTTCTTGATTTCTCCCTCAGAGAGTGACCTCATTTCAATGATCTCATTGTCACAATGTCATCAGTTGTTCAGTGCTGCACAAAAACAGGTCTTACTTGAGGCCCACAAATGACAGGAACTGTGCACATTCTTCCCCCGTGGCACAAGATGGGTGTGCAAAGGCAAACTGCCCTGTGGTAGTGGTGGGGGAAACAGACACACTATCCATGAGGAAGTGACGCACATCATTGGAATGGATCTTCTTCTGTTTCTTCTCTAGGTAAGTAAATCATCGTTCCTCCCAGTGCTTGACTGCCATCTTGTGTTTTCCACGGTGACTCTTATACGAAGATGTCATGGGCAGAAAGTGTTTGGATTCCTCCCCTGGGATTGGTAACCAGTGCACAGTATTCTGCTAGATACCAACCAGTTTGGAAAACTATTATATTTGACATTATGTATCAATACTCTGACTCAGCAGTTCTACCCCTAGATACATATCTTACAGAAATACAAACATATGCCAAAAAACATACAATAATTTCATAACAGTGCTAATCAGAAATCTTTACATTTTTAACAGCTAGAGAATATTTCACTGTAAGGATAACATAGTTAAATATGGGTCTATTTTCAATCACTGTGCCGGGTATTTGGTGTGACCTTATACTCCTGTGGCGCAAGTCCTTCAGTTCTGGGAAATTTTTTCAAATTATTTTGTTGAGAATTTCTTCCCTTCCACATTCCTAATCAATCTTTTTGAAGCTGCTTATATTCAAGGAGTGAACCTCTTTCTTATTTTTGCCCCCATTTTCCATCTCTTCTCACTCTGAGAGAGTCATTTAACTTGATCTTCCAATATGCAAGCTGAGGTGGTTTTGTTTCTTTTTTCTTTGAGACAGGGTCTCACTCTGTTGCCCAGGCTAGAATGCTGTGGCATCAGCCCAGCTCACAGCACCTCAAACTCCTGGGCTCAAGCAATTCTACTGCTTCAGCCTCCTGAATAGGTGGGACTAAAGGCATGTGCCGCCATGCCTGGCTAATTTTTTCTGTATGTTTTTAGTTGTCCAGCTACTTTCTATTTTTTTAGTAGAGACAGGGTCTCGCTCTTGCTCACGCTGGTCTCAAACTCCTGAGCTCAAGCAATCCTCCCAACTCAGCCTCCCAGAGTGCTACAATTACAGGCGTGAGCCACTGTACCTATCCTATTTCTTTTCTTTATTTATTAACAGGGTTTCACTCTTCAGATGGGATTTTGTTTGTTTCCATTTTCTCTCAGGTTTTTAGTTTCTAAGAAATCATTTTGTTTTGTGAGTGTTTTTTTCTTATTTCTCTGTGGCTTAAGAATAGGATTTTTTGTTTGTTCTTTTACTGTTTTCCTTTCTTTGTATGGTGTCCATTTCTTTTTCTTTCTTTTTTTGGAGACAAGAGTCTCACTTTGTTGCCCAGGGTAGAGTGCCGTGGCATCAGTCCAGAACACAATGGACTAGCCCATAGAGGTACGAAAAGAGAACAGTCACATATATCTGTTTTTCCTAAAGCCTTAAAATGTTGTTATTAAAAAAAAAAAAAAAGTTGTTATTCAAGATTGTGATCAAGGTCAAGAGAAAGAAAACAGAAGTCAGATAATGAAGGACAAAAGCTGGAGCAGAAGCAAAGAACACACTAACGGGCAGAGAATGAACCAAAGACGTTGCAGACTCAGAAGGGAAAATGTAATAATAAGCCTTCTTCATGACAAGAATACGAATCTACAAACAAATCCTCCAAGAAATGCACATTTGAGGAATATAATGACAGAGAACATTCTTCTGATAAAGGAAGACAGAGATGAAATTCATCTGAAAATGGTGAGGACAGACACAAATGCAAAGAATGAAAGATATCAAGAAGCAGAAGTCGCTAAAGATGTAGATAAAGGTCTTGTGAAAGACATCATCACAGTAGAACCAGGGAGCGGAAGACGTCTAAATCTAAAAGCAGAGAGAAGGAAAAACTCACAATCTTGAAACAGAAAAAGAAAACTACAGATCAGATCTTGCTTCCATTCAAGATCAAGAGACTTGGGACGGGTGTGGTGGCTCACACCTGTAATCCTAACACTCTGGGAGGTTAAAGCAGGAGTATTGCTTGAGGTCAGGAGTTCGAGATCAGCCTGAGCAAGGGCAAGACCCCATTTCTACTAAAAATAGAAGGAGAAAAAAAAAAGATCAAGACATAGGCCAGAAATAGTACAAAGAGTAGAAGTCAAGGTAGAAAGAATAATATTGAAAAACTATGTAGAAGTTGAAAAACTGAGTAGAAGTTTAAGCCAGAGTTCCAGTCTACCTCTCTTGAGAGCAATGGATGCACAGGAAGCTTTAGCTAGCAGATTGGAAAGGGCAAAGAAATTACAACAGCAAGAAAAAAGAAATGGTTGGGAAAAAAAAATAAGAAATAGCTGCAGTTACTGGAGCTTCTCTTCTCAGATAGCTATGGCAGCTCAAATGGGAGCCCAGCAAGCTAAGGTTTGGCAGAGACCATAGTAGCTGCGCCTAGCTATCTATTATGATATAGCAGCTGGAAATCTGTGTACAAGAGAAAACAAGGCAAGGCAAGAAAGACAGGGCACATCCATATTTCAGTGTGCTGAAATGTGATAAATTGAAAACAAGGACCAAAATGTTCTATATAAGAAATTAGTGGGTCTTAAGAGTGAAATTGGGCTGGCCACAGTGGCTCACACCTGTAATCCTAGCACTCTGGGAGGTAGAGGTGGGAGGATTGCTTGAGTTCAAGACTTTAAGACCAGCCTGAGTAAGAGCAAGACCCCATTTCTACTAGAAAAAAGGTAGAAAATTAGCTGGGCATCATGGCATGCACCTGTAGTCCCAGCTACCCAGGAAGCTGAGGCAGAAAGATCACTTGAGTCCAGGAGTTTGAGGCTGCAGGCTGCAGTGAGCTATGATGACTCTCCTATACTCCAGCTGGGGTGACAGTGTGAGACTCTGTCTCAAAAAAATAAAAGTGAAGATAAAGCTGGATGTAGCTCAGTTGATAAAGAAAATTATTCAACACTTTGAAAAAACATGAAGAAGTACTGTATTTAGAAATCTAGATTCTAAATATGAAATGGCAAGACCAAAAACCCACACACAAAGAGGAGCAGGATTGGGTTTTACATCTTCAATGTGAGAAATGGATGCAGTTTTAAAAAGATCATACTTTTGAAGTTTGGGACCTTGTGGACTTCTTGTTCCAATGTCAGGTCCTTGTTCACCAAACAGCTAGTGTTCTAGCTTGTATGGGTGTTGCACTGACTTTTTTCCTCTCAATTTTTTTATTATGGTAAAATTCACATAAGATTTACCATCTTAATCATTTTTAAGTACACAATTCAGTGGAATTCAATACACTCATAATGTTGTACAACCATCACTACCATCCATGTCCATAACTCTTTTCATCTTGTAAAACTTGTAAAACTCTATATTCATTTGCCTTGACTTTAATTAATTTTTATTTTTCTGAGACAGTGCCTCACTCTATTGGCCTGCATAGAGTGCAGTGGCATCATCATAGCTCATTGCAACCTCAAACTCCTAGGCTCAAGTGATCCTCCTGCCTTAGCCTCCAAGTAGCTAGGACTACAGGTGCATGCCACAATACCCAGCTAACTTTTCTATTTTTAGTAGAGAGGGGGTCTTGCTCTTGCTCAGGCTGGTCTTAAACTCCTGAACTCAAAACGATCCTCCTGCCCCAGCCTCCCAGAGTGCTAGGATTACAGGCATGAGCCACCACACCTGGCCTAACTTTTTAACTTATTGAAAAGTAAGATTTTTTCATAAATATCTGATCAGTGATACAGGGGTTAGTGTTGTAATCACATTAAACTGACTTCCATTAAACTTCAAAGGACCATAGAAAGATAATATTTTTTAGTCCATGAATTCTATTTTGTAAACATATAAAAACTACAGGAAGGATAAAATCTCATATGTGGATTATTTGTTTCTGTTATCTTGTGTACTTTTGTATTTAACTTTATACAGTTACTTTCATCTCTCGAAACATGAAAGAAACATTATGTAGATGTTCTTTAGAAGATCTGGCCATTTGGTACATAATCCAGCACAAATAAGCTGGGTGGTGATGATAATAAAAATGGTTTTATCACACAGACAAAAAAGCAATGGCAAAACTATGGAGAACATTTATATACCTTGTAAGCTATAAGCAAAAGATCAGCAGATGTAAAATTAAGAGACCAATGGAGTAGGAGAAAATATATGCAAAAAATATCACACAAAAAAAAGATTAGTGCCCTAAAGTTGGGAAAAAAACCAACA